TAGACGGTTCACAAAAACGTCAGAAGTGCAAGTCTGGGCATCAGACAATTAGCAAAGAGCCAGACATTCTCTGTTGGCAACAATTCCCGACATCAAGGATTTAAAGTCGTAAGAAAGAAAACGATCTTTGAATTTTATCAAGGGGAAAGACGTTATTGTCCTTCTTCCTACGGGATTTGGGAAAAGCTTAATAAACCAGTTCGCCCCTTTAATCAGCACATTACTCACGTCACAACCAAATAGCAGTGATTGGTTAAATAAAAAAAAGAACCTACCTATCGTTGAGTGAACAAATTCTAACACTGGGAGGTCAGATGGTTTCTATAAAGTGAAACCGTCTGATGAATCAGGCTAGAACATTCCAGGCAGAACAATGACATATCCATAGAAACAAGCAGGTGATGGACCCTCCACCAGAAAAGTGACACAATACCTTTAAAGTGTAGATATATGAAGTAAAATAGATATATAAAACGGTGTATTGCTTTTGAACTTGCAGTCAGATTGCTTAAACCATGTCATAAGCGCTCTGGAGATGAGAGCTGCTTTGTATTGAAACTACAGAGCTGTGCGATATTAAGAAAAGATGAAATATTCATGCGGGGTACGGGGCATGGCCAATATGAACTCTGCCACCTGAATTATACAGGGAGATTTGACAAGGCTGGGCTCACAGATACTACCAGTCAAAAGAACAGACACTCCCTCTCGTTCAGTGCTTCTTTATATCTACATTTTATATACTGTCAATTCAGGGCTATAAGCTGCTACTTTTTCACACTCTGAACCCTGCTGCTAATAAAACGATGAGGCTAATATATGGACGGATTCTTAGTTTGGCCTGAGTACAGAAGACGCTGCTGTCTGTGTGTTTACACGTGGATCTAGGCTTAACATGAAGTTGCTACACTAACTACTGATATTATCAGAGCACTCAGTTTATGGCCGTGTGATAAAATAAGTTATGATGCCAAATTAACATTAGTGAGGGGCACTGTTGGGCAAGTTACTTTAAAACTGTAATGCATTATTTATTCCTTGTTACAGGCATTTCAAAGTAATTTGTTACATTACAATATTACTGCATTTAAAATGTAAAACATTACATTAATATTGCAGTACTTTTAAGTTACCCTAACCAGAATAACTGCAAAAAATGCTCAACTTTTGCGCCATATAAGGACTGAACCAGGACTAAACCAAAACCAAACCAGGACTAAACCAGGACAAAACTAGGTCTAAACCAGGACTGAATCGAGGACTAAACCAGGACTAAACTAGGACTGAACCAGGACTAAACCAAAACTGAAGCAGAGCTGAACCCAGACTGAACCAGGACTAAACCAGGATTAAAACAGAACTGAACCAGGACAAAACTAGGTCTAAACCAGGACTGAATTGAGGACTAAACCAGGACTAAACTATGACTAAACCAGGCTGAACCAGGTCTAAACCAGGACTAAACCAGGTCTAAACCAAAACTGAACCAGGATTAAACCAGGACTAAACCAAGACTAAACCAAGACTAAAACCACGAATAAAACAGGACTGAACCAGGACTAAACCAGGATTAAACAGGACTAAACAGGACTAAACCAGGACTAAACCAGGACTAAAACAGGACTAAACCAGGACTAAAACAGGACTAAAACAGGACTAAACCAGAACTAAAACAGAACTAAACCAGGACTAAAACAGGACTAAAACAGGATTTAACAGGACTAAACCAGGACTAAAGTAACCTTCCCAACACTGTCCGCAGACATATCCCGCTGCAGTCTTTGCGGTCGATTTTAAGTCTCATAAGATTCTCCTCGTGTCTGTGGTGTGCGCTTTTTGTCGCACGTTTAAAAATCATTTAAGACCGAAAAATCTTGTAGTGTGAGAGTGCCTTAAGTGTACTTTTTCACACGATGGTATCAGACTTTTGAGGATTGGAAACCCCCCAAAATTGTATCAGAACAACACTAGAAATAACTCAATATTTTTTTTAATATTTTATGTTCAAATCCTTCAAGTATCCAGCCTTTGCTTTGTTGACAGCGCTGCAAACCCTTGGCCTTCTCTCAGAGTTTCTTCATGAATTCTCCTGAAATTCAAATTTTCACTTCACTGGTGTTGCCGGGTCAGGGTCAAGAAACACCAGAAGTGTAAACCAGTTTTCAAGGCAAAGAGTGGTTCTTTTTACAGATCTAAAATCTTAAACAGGTTTTTAATTATTTTGAGTTCTTCTTTCATAGTTTTGATGCCTTCATTGGGTAAGAAGAAAAATGAATGAAAACTGTACAAACTTTTGATAGTTCATGCAGTTTTAAAGGTGCTTTGTGTAACTTTTCTGATGGAAGGTCTGTCAAATGTTTTTCTTCATGATGTTATGGTTTTGTTTTGCTGGAATATTTCACAGTATGGCTTTAAACTTTTTCTATCTTCATGGAGACCAAACCAGACCAAGTTACAGGTCAGATCTGTGGAGAGGCGATCCCACTCTTGTTTTTTGGGTATTTTTGAGCTATAAAACCACCTGTAATTGAATAAATGTTACAAAATTAAGTAGCCCAAGTGTACTTCTTCACACTTTGGTATCGGACTGGTATCGGTATGGGCAAATACACCAATGCCAAGTATCGGTATCGGATTGGAACCCAAAAAACTAGTATCGGAACAACACTAAAGATAACTACTTTTTTTTTTATATATATATATATTTTTTTTATGCTCAAATCCTCCAAGAATGCCATACTGTGGAACATTCCAAGCAGAGCAATGACATATCCATAGAAACAAGCAGATGATGGACCCTCCACCAGAAAAGTTACACAATGCAGCTTTAAATCCAGTTTTAATGCAGTGGTCATGGATGGATGAACTGTAACCAAATGATGCTTTATCTTGGATTATTATTGAAAATATTTAAAGTTGGTCATGAAATAATGAAATAAATTTGTAAAGTAAGTAAGTAGAACATTAGTAAATATGTTGTTGACCTTGTACTAGAGCAGACTTAAGCGGCCACATACGGCCCTTTTGTTGACTCTGACCGGAATTACAACATTTTGGAATTACAAAATAAAGATATTTTATAGTTTTACCTTATGCATGGACTAAAGCTGCACTGAGTTTATTTTAGAGTTGGTTTTTTTTAAGTATTTTTTTAAGGCAGCCTCACTTTTTCATTGCTTAGTCATAACATAAACTCTTAACAGTCTGACCAGCTTGTTAAAATAAAGTTATTTACTGCTTTTTATAAAGAAATACAATTGATATTATGCAGAATTGAGTTAAACATTTTGGCTCGGTCCTTCACAATATTTTGTTTCTCATGTGGCTCCATGGAAAAAATAATTGCCCACTAGATAATTGGACTAAAGTATAGATTTGTTGTTCGACTGTCTCTGAATTAAACATTCAAAGGGCCATATGACGCTATTTTCTGCTCTGTGTTCTAATGTTTCCTCATCACAAACAGACCTGGAGCTGTGTTTTTGTTTCATTCACACATGTTTAACACACAAACCCTGCAGATATAGGCTGAGTTCTCTCAAACAGAAAACACTCAGTTCCACCTTGTGATGTCATGTGGTAATACAGGAAGTGCTCCACTGTGCTTTTGAACTCCATAAACCTTACGTGCTTTCACTAGAATCATTTGGATCTGACCTGGAATTGTTCATCTCTACTAAACTAAAGGCACGACATAACGAGGTGGAACAGAGCATTTTGAGCTTCTTTATGGTCTAATTCATGCAGAGTTACATTTAAATTATAGTGTAAAAATGTGTCAAACATGTCATATATTTTTTCTGCTTTTTTTTTTTTTTTTTTGCTTTTTGCTTTGCATCAACTTATGTCTGATTAGAGACAACAACAAAAAAATCTCACACTGCAAGAGCTGTTTTCTTTTTTTACCGCTATACACCAGTTCAAAGTGTGTGAATGAAACAAAACAACAACTCCAGGTCTGTTTTTGAGGAGGTAACAACTTTTTAACATGGCTTAAAGCTCACAAGCTAGGACCTTTAAGTCAGTTATTATTTTTATGATTAACTTTTTATATTTTAAACCAACTGGCCATACCAGTGTGGTAGAGGATTTTGACCCCAGGGTCAACATACCATATAGTATAGAAATAACAAAACTGGAGCGCTACACTGGATCAAAAAACGTACGCATACAGGTGTTCATCAAACCGGAGGGCGAGATTCTCGTAAATTAGAAAAAAGATGGCAGAGGCACTCTGATTTGCGGTGAATTTATTAAAAGTGATGCCAACGCGTTTCGACTACTTGGTCTTCATCAGGGCTCCTGATGAAGACCAAGTAGTCGAAACGCGTTGAATAAATTCACCGCAAATCAGAGAGCCTCTGCCATCTTTTTTCAAATTTACCATATAGTATTTTGACCCCGGGGTCAGAATCCTATTATGGTATGTTGACCCCTCCTATAGAATATTGACCCCCTATGAAAATGTATTAATTATTAATTTTATTAATAAAGAACTTGAATTCTATAGAAAATGTTTGAATATTTATACTATATCTGCAAATTAAAACATATTGACAGATTTAAAAGTGTTTTTTGAAGAACTCAGATGCATTTTTTATGTCAATTATAACTTTTGAATGTTAAAAATGACTTAGTTGTTTAAACACATATTTTACTGATCATAAGATAAGTAGTTATTAATTAGTTAGATAATCAAAGTGATGTATAAGTGGTGTGTGTGTGAGTGATGGTGGTCACAGGGACTCATGGTGCAGATTGGCAGCCTCGCTTCCATCAGTCTGCCCCAGGGCAGCTGTGGCTACAATTATAGTTTACCATCACTGAAGGTAGAGTGAATGGACAAAGATGTGTAAGGCGTCTTTGGGACATATGTCTGTGAAAAGCACTATATAAACCACAAACTTACTCACAAACTTACAACTTCCCTCCTGTTTTATCCACTGTTCTTATATATTTTCCTCACGTGTGTGTGTGTGTGTGTGTGTGTGTGTGTGCAGTGATCGTGATCCTGTTCGTGATGAGGAAGCGTTACCAGAAGGATCACCTGTCCAGTCTGAAACACAGCGGAGAAATCCACGAGCAGCTGGTCACCTACGACGAGGAGGGAGGTGGAGAGATGGACACGAATGGGTACGTACAAAACACACACTGTAGAAAGACGTGGACTAAGGGAGTGTGACGTCAAATGAAGCTCACGGGGCTAGCGTTTATTTACGGACAAAACAGCAAAGTAAAAACACCAGGATCATGTAGAGCGGGTTAATACGAACATTTTAAAACTTAAATGATGATTCTCACAGCAGCTGTTACAGAGAGAGGGGTGACAATTTTTCAATGTAAAGTCAATTGGAGCAGAGTCGATGGAGCCGGAAGCTCGCCCATGCTCACTTCCTGTTCAGAACACGGTGTCTTAATATATACAGTGGAAGGCTGTGTCCGTATTTAGGGGTCATGCCATTTTTAGAAGTGTTCAATATCTGGGTTTCACGTGACGTCACCGGGCTACGTTTGTCAGCACGCAAAATCAGATGGAGGGCAGGAAGTGAACTGACTGGAGGAAAATGCCAATGTGTTGTGTAGTTTACGGCTGTGCCAATCGTTCTAATCGAGAGAAGGAAAAGCGATTTTTTTAGAGTACAGAATATAGTCGTCCACAAAGGTCAGAAATGGGAAAAGCCGACAGAACAACACTGTAAAAAGTGGATTACAAACCTGTTTGCGGTCGGGAGGAGTAGAATTCGCTAATGCTCGTGTCTGCAGTGACCACTTCGACAAAGGTTTGTTACAAAGCTAAATTGTTTTTTGTGGTTTACCTAAACATAAATGAATCATTAACGACTAACGGCGAACGACGTTTGTTGACATTAAATAGTTCAGATAGAGGTTACTGCCGATACACTGCAGTTTTTCCCATAACGTCTATACACATAAAATAAGAGAAACACTCACCCCGGCGAAGACCAAACCATAATCATCATTTAGGCGTTTTGCACCAAGGTTGAGGATCCATCCACTGACAAAAAAAGTTCTATGCCTCCAAACTTTTGTACGTCTTCATCTGTTGTCTGGTGTAGAACGATGTCTGAAGAGCTAAATAGTTTGTGATCTCCTCTGCCTCGATTGTCGGCAAATCTTTTACTTTGGTTGAAAATTCTCTCATTTTCAATAAGATCAGGGTCACGCCCAATACATTTGTCGAATAATTGCTCCTATTTTTGCCTTGCTACTGGCTCTAAATCCTTACAATAAGAACTCTTCTCCATATCTGTGTTCTCCAGAGCCGTGTTTGTCGTGTTGTGTTCGTCTTCACTTCCTGCCCTCCACCTGAAATTGGCACATCATCGTGATGTGACTGAAACCCTCCTATTGTTCAGTTGGTGAAAAAGTAGTGCACTCAAAATTTCACGCAATGTACCTTGAAAAGTAATCGTTGGTCACTAGGGGTCAATATAGACCACAATGCATTGCGAGAGTCGAGAAAAGATGTTTAACTGCACACAACACGACTGAAGGAAGCAGATAAAAGTGCTGGTTTATGGCACTGTTGATCCGTGATTCTGAATAAAACAGACTCAAAATGATCCTTAGCTCCAGCTGTTAAAAGAGCAATAACTTCCAAATCTAAGACAAAAAGCGAATAATCCTGTCCATTTACGTGAAATCCAGCATGACAAAACCTCATATGATTATTATTGGTCCATAAACACTTGTGTAAGTCTGATCTGATCTTTATGTATGACACAAATCAAGTTTTATCAGAGTTTAGCTGACTTTTTCTTTTTTTTTTTTTTTTACCTACACGCCAGAATCATGTGACCCAAATGCAGTGTTGGGGAGTAACAGATTACATGTACCAGAGTTATGTAATCAGAGTACAAATTATGAGTAACTGTATTCAGTTACAGTTACTGTTTTAATGAGAGGTAATTGGATTACAGTTACTTTGTTGACATAAATTACACAGCGTTTTTTTCCTGTTTTCACATTTTGGGCTATATCCATTATTTTTTTTTTTTTTTTTTCGGTAATTCCACTCATTGCCGGACACTAAACCAGGTCCAAACGAGGTCTTAACTAGGTCTAAACTTGGTCTAAACCAGGACTAAACCAGGACTAAAACCACTTCTAAACTAGGTCCAAACCAGGTCTAAACTAGATCTAATCCAGGTCTAAACCAGGTATAAAACCAGGTCTAAACTATGTCTATGTCTTCCCCTTCTATGACTAATATTTTTAATCTGGTTAAGTAAAGTCTGGGCTTTTTATTTTCTTTTAGCAGACAAAACATCTTATGTGAAGATATCTTTGTCTTTGTTGCTCTACAAGTATCAAGTAATCCAACGTATTCAGATTACGTTACTCACTTGAAGTAATTTAATGGATTACGTTACAAACTACATTTTGATGTATGTAATCTGTAATCTATAGGGGAATACATTTTAAAAGTCACCTTCCCAACACTGTTTACACTAATATAAAATATTATTGATAGAAGACAAGGAGTCACGGTCCGCACGGCATGATTTAGTCCTGTTAAATCCTCTTTGAGACAGTTTAGACCTGGTTTAGTCCTGGTTTAGTCTTGGTTTAGTCCTTGTTTAGATCTGCTTTTAGACCTCGTTTGGACCTGGTTTAGTGTCCGGCAATGAATGGAATTACCAACAAAAAAAACAAAAAAAAAGGGATATAGCCCAAAATGTGAAAACAGGAAAATACCGCTGTGTAATCCATTTATTTCAACAAAGTAACTGTAATCCAATTCCCACTCACTGAAACAGTAACTGTAACCGAATACAGTTACTCATAATTTGTACTCTGATTACGTAACTCTGGTACATGTAATCTGTTACTCCCCAACACTGAGTGTAGAAACAGTGAGGTCTGAAATGTACACACAATATAATTTTAAAATCCAATCTGAAATGAATGGGGGCCAGTGTAATGAGGAGAAAAGAGGTGTGATGTGTCCTCTACCACATCTTCCAGTGAAGAGATGTGCTGCAGAAGTTTTGACTCACTGTAAGCATGACAAGTTTGCTTGGCTCATACCAGCGTACAGAACATTACAGGAGTCAAGACTTGTAGAGATAAAAGCCTGAATCACCCACTCCAAATCACTTACAGATAAAAACAATCTGAGTCTGGATACACAGCCAAGGTCTATTTAAATACAGAGCAAAAACTGGAGGGCTACAATTTCAAGGTAAAGTATTTCAGAGCACAAAAAGTGTTATTTTATTTTAATTGGAGTTGGGAGTTGATATAGCTGAAGTTATTTCACCTTCTCTTAGTTTTAATTTGTCACCTCCCACCACTTCAAACTCCTGCGAGAAAAGACCAGTTTTGTACATAATTAAATTAATTAAATAAAATGTAAAACACCTCTGTGTGTTGTTTAGCTAAATCAGGATAACCTTACAAAGTGTTATTCGTTTACTCTGAAAATGTAAATATAATAGGGATGTAAGAATAACCAAAATATCGTGATGTCGTATCGTTAAAAGTCTCACAATAATATCGTGGACTTTCACTATACATATATATCGAATCACAAGTTCCTTTACTTAAATGCATGGATTTATAGCAGCAACAGCTTATAAACATCAGAAACTACATATCCCATGATTCATTTCAGTGCAGACGACATGAAGAAATGTGTTTTTTACTTGAATTCTTGGGATTATGATGGAAATAATTCGCACCAAAATCTTGTCAAGGTATTTTAACAGCAAAAATGTGTTCCATCTTCAATTATTTTAGTCAGCCTCTTCAAAATATCACAATAAATATCGTACCATTAGATGCATATCGTGATAATATCGTAACTATTTGAAAGTTAATATAATGGAGATGTAAGAATAACTGAAATATCGTGATATCGTATCGTCAAAAGACTGTCACAATATATCGAATCACAAGTTCCTTTACTTAAATGCAGGTTTTATAGTAGCAACAGCTTATAAACATCAGAAACTACATATCCCATGATTCATTTCAGTGCAGACAACATGAAGAAATGTGTTTTTTACTTGAATTCTTGGGATTATGACGGAAATAATTCACACCAAAATCTTGTCAAGGTATTTTAAAAGCAAAAAAGTGTCCTATCTACAGTTATATTAGTCAGTCTCTTCAGAATATCACAATAAATATCGTACAGTGAGATGCATATCGTGATAATTTCATAACTATTTGAAAGTTAACTGAGAGTTTGAGTTGGGGTTATTTGCCAGAGTTGATACAGTTGAAGTTAATTCAACTTCCTTTAGTTTTAATTTGTCACCTCCCGCCCACCACTTCATACTCCAGCGAGAAAAGACCAGTTTGAACCAGTTTTGTACATCATTTCATCTTAAATTAACTAAAATATAGAGTAAAAATAAAACATCTCTGTGTCATTTAGCTAAATCAAGATAACCCTACAAAGTGTTTACTCTCAAAATGTACTGTAAATATAACAGAGATGTCACAATAGCCAAAATATCGTGATATCGTATCGTCAAAAGACTGTCTCAATATATCGAATTACAAAGATGCAAAAAAAAAACCCAAGGCACTCACTGGTTAAAATAAAATGTCTTTATTAATTTACAGCATGTCTTAACGGACAATTTACAAAGTCCCGACGCGATTCCAGTATCTAAAAAGTTATTATTTTCAAAAATATAAAATATATACAGAAAATACTATTCAGTTATAAAAACACAGAGAAGTCCAAATCTTCATTGAGCCCAGGACATTTTGTTGCCTGTAATTTATAAATCCAGTAGGTTTCACACTGTTTGACTTTTGCAATCCGCTTTCCTTTTCACAAAGAATCTAGTATGTGATCAATTCTTTGACCCTGCAGAGAAGCATTTCATTTTAACCAGTGAGTTCCTTGGTTTTTTACATCTTTTTACTGACTTTCCTTCCCAAAGAGCACCACTGAGTTGGATCTACTGTGTATTATCCTCTGGAGCTCCAAGAACCGCGTCTTCTGAAACCTTTTTTTATATCGAATCACAAGTTCCTTTACTTAAATGCATGGATTTATAGTAGCAACAGCTTATAAACATCAGAAACTACATATCCCATGATTCATTTCAGTGCAGACAACATGAAGATATATGTTTTTTACTTGAATTCTT